TTTCTGGATAACTACGATGTCTTGCATAACATTTAAGTGGTAGCATCCTAAGTTATTCGTTTATCTACACATAGGATACCTATTTGGAGAACATCTGCTCCATTTAAATAAAACGCATTTTTGTTTCTTGTCAAACTTTTGTTCTTCTCATACTGATGCTTTTGAAATGCGAGGTGTTATTCATCTAGCACTTATTCTCCATTTTCTTGTTGTCAGTCCTTTTTGATGTTTTCATGATTTAGATTCATTATGCACGCTAAGAAAACTGCATTTGTTGTGGAGCACGACTTTATAATGGCTACCTATCTTGCTGACCGAGTAATTGTTTTTGATGGAGAGCCATCTGTACATGCCACTGCTAGAAAGTAAGTTATTCGATGAGATATTCGTGCAATTGAAATTATCCATAATGTAATTGCGTATTTCTGTTCACTTTGGACTTGCATATCTTTGCTTTAGACCACAAAGCTTACAAGAAGGCATGAACCGGTTCTTAAAGATGCTTGAGATCACATTCCGTCGTGATAGTGAGTCGTACCGACCTCGAATTAACAAAAAGGATTCGATGAAAGATATCGAGCAAAAGAAGAGTGGTCAATTCTTCTTTTTGGATGAAGTTTAGGTTTTCAAATTTGTACCGTGATGTTTATCGTTGACGTTACTAGAATTTGCAATCGTTTGAATACTTGAGGTATGAAAGATTCTAAATCTGTTTTCTAGTAGTTGTTTTTTACACTTATTTAAGCTGAGTATGAATGAGGATGCTTTGTTTTCATGAACAAATTTGCGGTTAAAATTCTCATGTGATTCAAAATTGGGAGTTTTCGTCACAAGAATATCCGAGTTTTGACCTGCGCTATCGCTCCTCCACTGTTTAATTATTGTACCTGCGCGGAATTTGTAAGCTTGGCAAATTCTACTTGGAAAGTAAGTAGTACATCAGAAGGACAAGATTTATCTCAACTAAATTTTCAGAAAATGTCCGTCAAACAGTAAAATGACTCAATACTAGTTGCTTTTCTATACATCATCTCTGTTACTTTTTCTCTTT